CCACATTTTATCTGTGACAAGAGTCACTCTTATAATTAGTTTAACATGTACTATGTCTGAGTCTGGAATTATGTCATTTTCCGTCATGTCATATGTTCTGGACAATGTATCTGCAATAAGTAGATGTTTTCCTGGCATGTACTACATGTCTATATCATACATTTGCAGTTGAAAGAAAAGTCTCTGTAATCTGGGTGGTATGTCTGATACCCCTTTCTCTGCTATGGTTACCAAAGATTCATGATCAATTTCAGTTGTCACAAGCATCCCATAGATGAATATATGAAGTTTATTACAGCCATATACCAGAGCTAAACTTTCTTTCAATTTGTGCATATGCTCTGACTTAGAGAGTGCCCTAGATGCATATGCTACTGGTCTCCAGCTATCCCTATGTTTTTGAAGCAAGGCTGCTCCAGTGCCTTCTTTAGAAGCATCTTTGACGATGTAATGGGTCTTTTAGGGTCATAGTATTTTAGTACCGGAGCTTTCATTATTTTTTCCTTCGAGTTTTTAAATTCAGCTTTATGTTCATGTTTCCATATGCACTGAACATTTTTTTAGGAGTTATCTTAGGTGTTTGGTCTGCTCTGATAAGTTAGGTAAATGTTTTTCTACAAAGTTGATCATTCCCAGCAGTCTTTGCATTCTTTCCTTATCTGTCGAGGGTGGCATGTTTGTAATGGCTTTAACACTTGCAGGATCAATTTGTACCCCTTTCTTAGAGAGCTTTTCTCCCCAATATGTTTTTTCTTTGACCCTCAATTTGCATTTTTGTTTGTTCAGTTTCAAACCTTCTCTGTGAGCTTCTTCTAGTGTCTTTTGTTAGCCTCAAGTCATGTTTTTCCAAAGTATTTCCCTAAACTAATACATCATCAATATAAACCATAGTTCCATCAAGACCTTCAAACATTTGTTGCACCTTTCTGTAAAATACTTCAACTGCAGAACATAATCCAAAAGGAAAACTATGAAAGCAATACCTTCCAAAGGGTTTATTGAAGGTACATAATCTAGTGCTATTCTTTTTCTAGGGGAACTTGCCAAAACCTAGAAGAGACATCCAAAGTGGAGAAATATTTAGCTTTTGCCACATTGCCAAAAACCTCTCCCCTGGTGGGAATGGGAAAATGTTTGATGTCCCTGTTCATTTGCTTAGGATCCAGACAATCTCATGGATCCATCTTTTTTCCCCCTATTATGACCAGTGAATGAACCCACATAGTTGGTTGTTCTACTTTTTCTATTATGTCCATGTTAACTAATCTATCTAATTCCTTTTTAAGTTTCTCCCTTACTACAAGGGGAACATTCTTGGAGCATGTATGGTGGGAGTATTTGGTTCTCTTAATCCTATCTTGTACTCAGTTGACAGCTTCCCTATGCCTTGAAACACATCATAAAACTCTTCTATCTTCTTGCTTTCTAGTCCCTCACTGGCATCCATTTTCATAATCAAACCTAGAGTTTTACATGTTCCCAACCCAATAACTGGCACTAGCTCTCCTGGGACTGTTACAAACTGAACTTTTACTGTATTATCCTGCTGTCTAACATGCAGTACACAAATGCCCTTGGCTGCAATCATGTTCCCATTATATGCTCTAAGTCTCACTTTCTTATTCTCATAGTATACAGGTTTAGTTTTCATTTTTTGAATAATGTATTTTGGTATTACATTGATCTGTGCCCCTGTATTTAATGTAAAAGTTACCATTAATCCATTGGTGTCCAGGGTGATTGTCCAATCCTCAGAAGGATGAACTAATGTGCCAACGACGAATTCTTCCTTTTCCTCATTGCACAGAGCTTGCACCTGCTGTTTCTTTGTGTGGTGCATCCTGCTCCTTTCTGCAAACTCTTGCAAAGTGATTGCATCTTTTACATTTGGTGCAGTGCTTGCCAAATGCAGGGCAACTTGTTCTGTCTTTTCAGGGCAACTTGTTCTATCTTTTCTTCCAGCTTCTGTAGCCTGCACATTGTTATCTCAGCCACTTGGCACATTCTAACTGCCATTTCCAAATTAAGCTGAGGATCCTCTAGCAGTTTCTTCCTGAGACTTGTATTCCTTATACCCAATGCTGTTTAGTCTCTGAACATGGACTCTTTTAGGTCTCCAAAACGGCATGTCTGGCTCAGCAGTCTGAGATCTTTGACAAACTTCTCTATTGTCTCACATTCTTTCTGCTGTCTCATGTAGAAATTATACCATTCAAAGGTTTAATTTTGTTTGGATATACAATATTCCTCAAACTTTTTTATTATTGTTCCATCAATTTTCTGTTCTGCTTCTGACTGTTGTAGGCTATTATAAAGAAACAAAGCTTCTGGGACTGCTATATTTAAAAAAAATAGTTACCTTGATTGAATCTTCCTTCTCTGTAGCTCCACTGACTGTCATATATATGATGAAGCTCCTAAATTTCTTCCAGTTTTCTGTTGCATTGCTGGACAACTTTAACTCCTCTGGAATTCTAAGAAGCTCCATGTGTTTTGTTTTTCTTCATACCCTACTCCTAGTACTATGTGTTATTCTCAAAAGACCAAGGAGTTCATCTTATAGAATGATAAAGGTTGTTTTTTCAGAGAGCAGTACCTAGTTTAGCTGTTCCCACCTGCATTCTCAGGGCAAATGTAACAACTTCATAGAATCATAGAATCAATGAGTCGGAAGGGACATAGACAGATCATCTAGTCCGACCCCCTGCCATGGGCAGGAAGGAGCACGGGGGGTGGCAGTGCTTATACATAAAACTCTTAAAGATATCCACACAGTAACTAAGACCAACAGTTTAGCAACAGAAAGCAATAGTTTAGATGGACTGGGGGGATGAGGAGCCATTGGCCTGTGAGCAGACAGTTTATGATGGGTTATTAGGAGAATGAGGAAATGAAGCAATTCTTTACCACAGAGTTTCAGTCCTTCAGAGGGGTGACTGCTCTGCAGGCCATCATACCTGTCAGTTTGGTTGCAGTGTTGCATTGTCCTTTTTTGGAAATCCCAGGGAGGAAATTCAAATGAGAAGGAAAAAGAAAAGGGGGATATAGTAGGTAAACAAACTGAAGAAATAGAGGGGAATAAAGGAAACAAATCTGTAGAGACAACAGAGAAAATGGGGAGGAAGCCAGAGATAGAAGGGGTGGGACACCTGAGAAACGTGCAGGAGACTTGTGAAATGGAAACTCCAGCATGGAAATTATGGCTTTGCTAAGGAGAACATATCGGTCTGACAGAGAGAAAGTGTCAGGAATTTGACTGAGAGTCATTTATGTAAATGAGACTCTACTTGTTTGTTGAAAATACAAATCATTTGAGTGTGACATCTTTTTCATAAAACCTCCAGTTTTCCAAAGGTATAGCAAGAAAAGACGGGCCAGAGCTCTTTCAGCTGACTTCCTCAAGTCTTTCTCTGTAGCGCCTTCTTTTACCTCTTTATCTTAAACTACTCTATTTCTTCTCTTCTTCTCCTCTCTCACCTCAGAGGAATTCTGCACCCACAGAGCTGATAGATAACTCTTCTACACAGAAATATAGAAACATAGTTAGGAGGCGTTACCTTGGAGTTCTCGTCCCATTGTCAGGGACAGCTTGTCTGCCATATAAAACTGTTTTTTGATGGCTCTGAAGTATCCCTGGAAGCTGTAACCTAGGAACTACTGCTATTAGTGACTAGAATCTTAGCTGATCATTGCAGCTGTGCAAAGAGGGATCAAATGAAAACCTAGATGTGAGCTCTTTACATTTACTGTGTATTGGTGTAAATGATCATAAGGGGCCAGGAAGTGTTATAGCAAGTCTTAAGGGCTGTAAAATGCTTCCTTTCTGAGGACTTCTACTTCCTTCACAGAACACTGAGTTTCAGCCGGGTGTTTGCCTGCAGTTTCTAGGAGCTGGAAGTCAGTAGGATATGCAGCTAAGCATATTGGATATGAAGGTGGAAGTTTGCAAACCACCAGAAGTAGTAACTCTATCATGCGTGGATCTGAGCCCAATTATTGCAGTTTGGCCAGGTGTCAATGGCAACAAAAGCCAAATTAAACCTGGCTTCCTACCTGAGTCCCATCTTTTCTAACACAACTAAAACAATGCTTTAAGTCATTGTCTAGAGCTGTACTTCCATTTTGGCTCTGGAAAAATAAAATATTACCTCCTGACTCACTCTGGCAAGTGACTCTGGCAATTCTATTTCCAGATTCTCAGAGTCCTACAGTGTGCAAAAGCACAAGTCCTTTTTGTCTGGGGAAAAAGAACAAAATCAATATGATTCTATATATTAAAATTATACCTAAATATAATTACATGCAACTAAATGAGTAAATCCAAGTGAGTGCATGAGGAGTATGGCCAAGCTCATGGCTCTAGGAGGAAGCTGAGTGGTTGCTCACATGTATAATATGGGCAGTTGCTTTAAATGTGAAAGTTTGATTCATCCAATTCCCAAACCTGATTTTAAAAAATGCCAGAAGATGAATGAGTGCATATGCAGCCTAAATCAGTGCTATGTAACACAGAAAACTAGTTCTCCTATTACCTACTCAATAGCTCATATATTATTACATCACAGTATTACTGGAGGAAAAGGAGGACTTTATGTTAGTTAGTCTTGTTTTCCAATGAAAGCCATGCCAAGAAAGAAAAGAAAGAAATTCCATGTCCATGTTCCTACAGATCACTGTAAAGCAATCTTTTTGAAGAAGTTACTGAATTCCATAAGAACTCTTCTACTTAAAAACTTGGTAATCTTTTTTTTTAAGTATTCCTTACCCCAAGAGATACCAGAGATACAGTTACATGTAGCAACTGGAAACATAAATGCTGCATTATTCGTACTGTTTCTTTTGTTGGAAGAGAAGGCTGTGCTAATTAGCACACACTGACTATTCAAGGAATTTGGTCTTCATCTCCGATTCCTTTTGCACTGTTTTTTCAGTGCTGTCAGACATTCCTGAAACAAAAGTCACAAGCTCTTTTCTCACATTCATGCTACATGCTTGGAAGCAAAGTTAATCATACTTTAGTAATTAACCTGTAACCTTCAACGCCTAGCAGTTTGGATAAATAGTGCTGTCGCTTTAAACTCTGGAAGTTAAATTAGCATAGTGGAGGACAGCAGCAGAAGGTCCAGCCCCTGAAAGCAACTTCAGATACCTCGCCCAGAGTCATTGCAGAGTGACAGGCAGCACTGACAAGTCTCTGATGAGAGTTTCATCAACATGACAAAGCACATGGCCCTCTCTTTGCTCCTTGTTCTCGGTCTGGCAACCTTATCTTCTGCAAATCGAAAACTTTTAGTGTTTCTGATTGATGGTTTTCGCTTTGACTACATCGATGATAATGAACTGAAGTCTCTGCTTGGCTTTAAAGAGATTGTGGACAAGGGGGTGAAAGTGGATTACCTGACCCCTGACTTTCCTAGTCTGTCTTATCCAAATTATTACACACTGATGACTGGTGAGTACTTTACTTTTATTTGTTGTGATGCTTTTAAAACCTGTCAGCTTGTTATGCTGAAGATAAGCTTGGGTCATTGGTTTTTGCCATGCAGAGGGATAAAAATACTGAAAATAAAGCTTTCAGCTACACTATTGTCCCGAATTAGGCTTAAAAGTATTACCAAATCAACTCTGAATTTCTATTAGAACAAGCTAAATACATGTCAGTTCTTTCTGTTCCAAAGTGTAATTTGGACCCATGCTGTTTAAAAACAGTGTTGCAAAACAGCTTGCAAAAAGTTTGCTTTTCACTAGCTCACCAGCTGTACAGTTACTGTTACTATTAGTTGTAGGTAGGGGCTTCCTCTCCTCTTTCAATTTTTTCTTTTTTGTATTTTCTCTGAGGTCTGATACATGCAGGACCTGAATCAAACACTTTTTATGCTTGTCTGGAATATCTGTAATGCTTGAACTTTATTTTAACTATGTGCTTTTTTCTGGCACAGTTGGAAAATAAGAATAGATGAGAAACACATGGATGATAAACATACAAAGTGTACCCAGAGACTCAACTTAGGTGGTTACTAAATCCTAACATAAACTGTGGATGACTAAAGTAGGTCTTGGTTCTAGAAAGCAGATGTGTTTTTAGAAAGGTCTTTGTTAAATTACTCCTTGAACCAAGCTGATGCCCTGTGTTTTCAGTTATATCACAAGAACTGATAGGACTTTCTTAACTTGATCCTAAATTTCTATATTAGTGAATTAATATGAAAAATCCAAGGTAATGATTCTTCTTTTTTGCATGTGCCCATTATGCTGTTCCATTTTCTGATTGTCAAAGGAAGGCTTTAACAAAATACATGGAATGCATGTGATTTTACAAAGGCCTATTCACTTTATTTCCATCATCTATTTAAAGGTTTATTTCTCTTTAACTTAACATGACGATTGATCTTTATGCGGTAGTCAGTACAATAGGGAAGTTACTTCTGGAAAATAAACTCTGCTAAAACAATCAGAAATGAAAAATTATTGTGTCCACGGTGTTGACTCTCTCAAATATGATTTTTCCCCTCAGTTTCTCCCCAGACATCCCAGCTAACTGGAGGCAGGGGGAAAAAATCTGTTCTTTTCTGGATATGGTGTTCACAGAACAACACAAAGCCTTCAGTTCATATACTACTTGTTGGAAAACAAATAGATGCCATTGTAAATCACAAAACTGACATCAGTTGTGCCTAGCTTGTTTTGAAACTCCTTAACTCTTTCCTTCCTACCTTGGGAGAAAATTCCCTTTTTGGTGCTCATCCTGGCTTAGAAACAGCACAGATTACTATATTTATTTGTCAATTCAAGTGGAAGGCAATGAAAAGCTTTTCTGGAAGGCAAATTCCATTACCGAATTTTAAGGCGTAACTACACCATGGACATTTAATCATTCTTTAGATATATTTATTTTATCTTTCATCTGTAATTTTAGCAAACCAAATTAGCACTCACATCTGCAAAATCTGCATTTGCCTGAAGCTACTAACTGCCTCCAGGTAGTTCCACTCCAAATGGGCACCTAGGGCCTCTGCTGAAGCCTACCTCCTACCTGCAACACTATGTCCTGCCCTTTGTGCAGCCCAGTTTCCAGCTTCAGCATCAGGCTCTGAGCAGGGCCCAGTTGCAAAGTGCTACTTAGTCCCACGCATACAACCTAGCTACTAATTACCAGGCAGTACACCAGCTGTAATCTGTTATGCCACATTGCACTCTATGTGTTGTCCAGTTAATATTGGTGTGTTGCAGTCCTTCAGTTCACTTCATTTCAGTGTAAAATTATGAAGTACAAACTAATAACAGCAATGGTTATTACACTTGCCTAGTAACATACTGTAAGTGTGTGAATGACTTGTTCAGCAGTCAGAACACAACAGGAAAACAACATATTGTTGGTAAGCGCGTGATATAGATTATTAGTTTAAAGAGGGCACCAGACAACTGCTTCATGCAATGAGATCTCTGACGTTCAGTCTGAGAAATTACTGTGATATGCAAATCTGCTGATGCCCCCTGCAATTGTTAAGAACCTACTGATATGAAATGCAACTCTTTAAAACAACCTAAACAATCTTGTTCATGCCACATCTCTTGTATTTCATTCTCTATCAACTTTCTCTTGTTAAGGAGAATTGCACAAAAAGAGGCTGTGGCCTTCCTTTTAAAAGTTCATCTGATACTGCCACTGATGCTGTTTGGTCAGCCTGATCCCTTAAGCCCCTGATTGGGAAGTTAGTTACTATGAAAATTTATTTTAACTTCACTGGAGACTCTGAGATCAGGTGAGAAATAAGTAGAGGTGTGAATAAACAACTGCAGTAAAGGGAAAGGCCTTACTTTTTGTACAAATACCCATAAAATGAATGAATGAAAACATGCAAAGAAAATGTCATACTGAAACAGAATGGTTTCTAAGTAAGTTATTTTCTGTTTTGTATAAAGTGGCAACAACTTTCTAACCTTTAACATAAGAGCCAAATTGGAAATCTGCATTGTCTTGCAACTGGAAGGTGACTCAAGCCTGGGATTGCCAGGTGATGGATATCAGGAAATGTTCATGTCCAAGAAGATGGTGTTTTGGAGGGTTTTTCTTGGAAAAGCTGGATAATTTTAACATGGAAGTGGCTTACCACGTACAGTAAAAGTTCTGTTAAGCAGCATCTTACAAGCCGGCATGCTCCACTAACCGGCATGCCGGCTTGTAGGATAAAGTGAAACCAGAAGTACCCACCGTGGCACTTCCAGTTTCTCTGACCCCAGTGGCTCAGGGCATAGCAGCCTGCGCTACTGAGCCCCCACGGCCTGAGGGCATAACAGGCTGTGCAGGGCCCGCCTCCCTGTCCCACAGGGCCCATAGAGCTCATGGGAGGGGCAGTGATGCAGCGGGAGGGGCGGAGGGATGCCCCAGCCGCAGCTGGAGAAGTGGTGGCTGGGGCCATTCAATTAACCATCATATTTTGTTATCCGGCATCCCCCATTCCCAGGGGGATGCCGGATAACAGAGCTTTTACTGTATAACCATGAGACGGATAATGGGAGAATGCTTACTGGTAAGAGGTAAATTTTTGAGATGCTTCATGTAATGGGTGCTTGTTGAGGGGGTTTCAGAGGTTGGTAACACAGAGACTGGGTAGATATGGGTGACACATGATGCTCTAACGGTAATTCAGCTATACTGTGCAATTTTGTTTGCAAGCTAGAGGAGTTAAGGTCACAAAATCATCTTGGATTTTTATCCTTTCTAAAGCCTATATTTATGCAAATTAATATTTTCTTTTCTCTGCCTTGTACCTGCATAAATCCTTCTGTCCAAAATAAATGGAATATTTATGATTCCACAACATTACCCCCTACCTCTGCCAGTTATTACTTCATAGCAGTTATACAATATGCCTTGGAACAAGCTGGCCAAGCTAGTAGCTTTGGGGTCTGATCACCTGGGCTAGGGACAGACATTACACATAAACCAGTTTAAGTGAGCAGAAACTGGTTTAAACCTGTAACAGAACAGATATTCAGTGCACGTAAACCAGTTTGAAAATGGCTGAAACTGGTTTGAGATAAACCTGGTTGAATGTAGTATCAGACTTAACTGATTTGGGTCAAACCATTTTATTCAATGCCTGTCCCAGACCCCTTCCTGGTTTAAGGTAAAGCAGAGTCCACCAGCATTCTGGCACACTCTCTGGGCTGGGCTGGGCTCTCTGCTCTGGAGAACTGGGCTGGTCCCTCCCCGCTGCTTCCTGGCTACAGCTACAGCAGAGACTGCAGGTACAGCAGGGCCTGCCTGGCTTCCTCCTGCTCCCCTCCTCCCCCCTCACCACTCCCTGCTGAAGGCAGGGATTCCCCCTTCCCTCTGCCTTACACAGACACCTCAGCATTAGCTAGCATACCACATGCTGGCTATGATCTGTGCTTTGGCAGACAGGACAAAGGTAGACAGCACAGTGTCCACTTAGGGCTTTTGGGAGCTAATCAACAGGTAGCACATAACATCCCTCCATTCCTTCCTTGTAAAAAGTTGTTTAAGAAGAGCTTGAACCAATGAGAGAAGCTTTGTTTTCTTAATGGGCTGATAAACACTGTGTTATGGGTGATTAACACTATTATCAACTCCCTACTGGGATGCTGAGGGGGGACTCCCCCCCACCTCAATCAGAGTGTCATGCCAGAGCCTGGCCATGCCCTCCCTCAGCTTAGCACTGTTGAAGGGAACGGAGGGCTGCTCTAGCACTCCCTGGCTTCTAGCCTGAACCACTGCAGGCATGTGCCTGCATTTCTGGAATGAAAAGGGAATGTCTATCCACCTCCAAATCAGTTCAAGTTTGCAGGTTAAACTAACCTGCAAAGATTGAATCAATTCAGGCTCAGGCTTGTTGAATGTGTGTCCCTAGCCCAAAGGATCCAAAGGCTTATAGAAGGTGCTGAATATATAAGATGGCCTAAAGAAGTGGTTCTCAATGTTTTTAGACTCAAAGCACCCTTCATTAGACTCAAGGCCTCTCTCAGAAAATGTCTTTATTTTCATTTATTTTTTGTGAATCAAGTTTGCACACCTAACAGTGTTAATATTATATAGCACCCTGTGGCACCCATGAAAGGATCTCAAGGCACCCCAGGGTACCATGGCACCCAGGTAAAGAATCACTGCTCCAAAAGGACCCCCATATTATAATGAGCATCTTCATTAACTCCCATTGAATTCACCAACAGCTTACTGCATGCAACACCTCATAGGGCCCCTTAAAATTTAGGTCAGTAAAAATAATTGATGGACAGTATCATATTTAGCTAGAAACTAAAACAGAATTGAATTTTTCAGGATTCCAACAACAAAAATAGTCATTTTTGGCACATCATTATTTAGAACAACGTGGCAAACCAAGATGCTCTGAAATATGACTTTCCAGAAAATATATTTCTTTTAGCTTCCAGGGACAGGAGAGAGATCTCACTTAGACAGATATCAGC